GAAAAAGCAAAAGAAAGAGGACAAAAATATCTTTTTCTTAAATAACCCATGAAAGTTAAATAAGGGGCTGTTTGGTTCGCTATTATAAGGGATGGAAAACTCAGAAAACCCCTCCACGTCAGATTTTTAGCCCTCCACGTCGGCTTTTTTGTTTCCGTCCATTTCTTTGTGCCGCTTTGGTTCGCTCGAATGGAAGATGGAAAACTCTGCTGAAATCGTCGCCAACTAAGATTTTTTTCCCTCTCCGATTTCCTTCCCCAACCAAGTGAAATTGATGAAAACTCTGCCACGTCAGATTTTTTTCCTTCTCTGCTTTGTTTACAAAAGTTTTCCTTTTTTTCTATGCGAACCAAACACAAGAAAAATAAATACATTGGTTTCCCACCATTTTTTATGTGTGAACCAAAGCAAAACAATCTATTTCTTGGAAAAGTTTGAAAAACTCAAAACTTGTGTTTCTTTATATGGAATTGCATTTCTCTATATCAAGGAAACGAACCAAACAGCCCCTAAATAACGAATGTGCCAGTGAAACTTCACATAATTGATTGCAGTGACGTAAACGGAAATATTTGTGTGATTGTTGCGGATAATAGTTGCAATATATGCTATCAACACTCCAAAATCTATTTATTGGAGTACCGAAGCTGTCAGCAATAATTTTTTTCTACAAATACGATATTTTGTAAGAATTTAATGAATTTTATAAGTTTTTCTTACTGCTCTAAAAATTGACCATGTTCAAATAAGAACAAGTAAACTTACAGAACTCATGCTTAGCAATATAAAAGATAATTTAGATAGAACTAGTGGTCCACACAACATAGATAAGACTTCAAACTCTCAATTAAACAGTCACAACATTTAACCACAAAATAAGTTAATCTCGCAAGCAAAAAAGTATTGTTGGGGTTATTTCTCGCTCTCACAAACCTCGGGAATTTTGGGATAAGCGTTATATTCTATGCAAGTATGCAACACACTTGAGTTTATGTGCAATTATTTAAAGGTTATTTTGACAAGCAATAAACTTTTATGCGAATTACACGATCCAATGACCCGTATGCTAAAAAAAAGTTTATGCTGTTCAGTGGCTAACACAACTAATACCGGAACCATTTAGATTAAAATAAATTCTTACGTCTCGTTTGGTACGCGGGAATGGACTCAAATGAGAATAGAATGAAAGAATGAATGTAATGGAATTAATGTGAGAATGGAATAGTCATTCTTATTCCCACGTTTTGGTGTAATTTATAAAATAAAATGAGAATGGACGTATTTTAAAATTGTATATTTTATTGATTCTCATTTAAGTGGGAATTCTCATTCCCTATCATTTCATTGGGAATGCTCATTCCCACATAAAGTGAGAATTGATGAGAAGTGGGAATGTGTATTCCAACTTTAAAAAAAAGGGTATCTTTGATAAGAAAGAATGAGAAGTGAGAATGATCATTCCATTCCATCACATTCCCGTGTACCAAACGAGACCTTAGCTCATTTCAATCATCATGGCCCATACACGACAACCCATCCAAACTCAAGCACCATAAAATCAAAGTTGATGTGACGGCATCTTTAAAAAATATCCACCTGTCCGTTTCAATAATTTCTATATATGAAGGCAGTTTCTAGTCAATTATATACAATTAATGAGGTTTGTTCCTTTCTTTGTCTTGTTCCTTTTTTTTAGAATTCCAATTAATCAAACTCTCAATCTTTGCTATTCTAGGTGAGTAGTAGCTCCTACGTTTTCTCCCCCCTTTAGGCATTACTGCAATAACTTACCCCTGTCCCTCCCCTTTAAGTATTTATTTATTTAAAATTTCCATTTAAAAGTATTAAAGAGAGCAAAAGAAGGAAACCCAGTTATTTATTCTTAATTCAATCATCCTATTTTGATCTGGATTGAACTTTGAACCTGGCTAGAAAGAAATAATTTTAATTTGAATTGAATTCCAACCGAAAGAATTATGATTTGATAGCCCAAGTCAAAGAAGGAATGGCACATGAGTTCAAGATAAGAGAAAAACTCCATAAATGCTCTTTCTCATGCTAGCTCATTATGCAATAGGAGAAGGACACTTCACTTGTCCCCTCCAATGGTCCCATATTTTGCGTCACTGTAACAACTCTCTAATGTTTATACTTGTATTGGGATTTGCCATTTTGACTTTTTCTCTTTGCAATGAAATTGACTAATCTTTATTGTCCCCAAGTTTGTGACTCTGTGCACTCAGTATAGAATACACAATATCAATCCAAACAATAGTCTAGAACTACTACATAAATCGGTACACATTATAAACTCTAAATTTAATTTTGAAACAAAAACTTCTTTTCACTTTCCATATGATTTCCCCTCACCTCATGTCAATGGTCATGCACCATACGTGAGCATCCAACGTAAAATCAAAGTTAAAGTGACAGCATCTTTAGAAAAATATCTCCACTTGTCTTAAATGAAGAATAAATTCTTCCTGTTCTTTTCAATAATTTCTATAAGAAGGCAGCCTGTGGTCAATTATATGCTTGAGGTAATTTGCTTCTTTGTCTTGTTCTGCTTTTGGAATTTCAATTAATCAACTTTTAATCTTTGTTATCCTATGAAATTCCTAGTTCTTATATATCTTTTCCTTTTCTTCAGGTATATTTCAATTAGAGTGCCCTTTATTACAATAATCCCCCCCCCCCCCCCTTAAATATGTATTTATTTAAAATTTCCAGTTAAAATTAAGGCATAAAAAAGGAAACCCAATTATTTATTCTTATATTCAATCATCTTGCTCTCATTTGGCTTGAGTAATGATAAAAGAAGAACTCTATGAATATCGTTTGAGAGATGCATTGCAAATTAAGGCATAGATAAAAAAAAAAGTTGTATAATTACAAGAGGCAGCTGAATAGGGTGTAGATGAGAAACATTAGTGTAATCCTATAATATATAATTGCAAAGGTAGCTTGCATCTTGCAATCTCTAACAATAAAGTCAACTCTACATTCGAATTTGCAATTTTGGCGTTTATTTACAAAGTAAATCTCATCGGTTGATCTACAGGCTTCCATGTCATTGTGATCATCCCCAAGTTTTTAATTCTGTGCAAACAAGAAACTAGAGTTAGTACATAAACAAAACTTTAAAATTAATTTTGAAGCACAAACTTCTCATCACTTTCCATTATGATATTCTACATATATATTTCCCTCTCGAACCCCCCGCCCCCCACAAAAAAACACGTTACCAACGTGTTTTTTCACGTTTGGTGTGTTTAGGAGATGACTAAGGGACCTTCCCTTTCTTCACCTCCCAAATATTGGAGGTAAGATTTTAGTTCGATTTCCCCCCTCATTCCCCTCCTTTACCTTTCTAAATGGAACTCCCAAACAAAGGTAAACCAAAATTTCCCTTCCCTTTTCGTTCTCTACCCTCCATCCAAACAGGCTATTTGTCATTCAGGTCGAGATTTTATAAGTGCGTATAATTCACGCCTTTTGTGTTAATCATTAATAATAAGAAGAAACTAAGTTGGTGGAGTGACAAACAAGCTAAGGCACATTGTGTGTACTCTTTCCTATGGGCTACTTTGGTGGCATCAACTTGCAATTTCTCCATCTGTTGAGCTTTTTAAAAAGCTAGTTGGCCCTCGTCGCTCTGCCTCAACTATATTTTATTACGTTCATAGAATATCTGTAGCTATTTGTAATTACAGTTGTCAAAAAAAAAAATCATCTTTGCAGAAACATTTCATGTTCCACCACTTCAGTGAAACGAAACACACAAATACCACTGCAATCACAGCTACTTCTCGTGAATTATAAATGAGAAAATGCTAGAGGCACACCCCCTAACCACACCTCCAACCACACTCCTCTCTCGTTACAGTGCACTGGGGCCCACATGAGAATTTTTTAAAAATTCTCATGTGGGCCCTAGTGCACTGTAGCGAGAGAGGAGTGTGGTTGGAGGTGTGACTGTAGCGCCTCCCTTAGAACAAGTCCATCAAGCTCCCACCGCCCGCTCTCAAGTCCTACGTGGCGGTGGGAGTCCGTGAACTCTCTCCAGCAAGCTCCGAAGGAGCTCCCAAGCGCTGGCGTGGCACGGAGCTTGGGAGCTCGTGCCACCGAGCTCCCAAGTATTTTAAAAAAAAAATTTACAAGAAAACTCATATATCAAAACCCAAAACCCAGTTTCAAATTAGGTGTTTAAAAATTAGCCGTTGAACAGTAAAAAAATTAGCCGTTGAACAGTAAAAAAATATGAAGAGAATAGGTTGGTGCGTCAGCAAAATAATCTTGGAACAAACGATTGTAGCCTTCCAGTCGGTTTCGATGAAGCACGATACGTCTTTTGTGTTGAACTAAAGTTGAACCTTTCTCTTGTTCTTCTTCCTCGACGACAGCAGCTCCTATAAGAAAGAACGTCTTCATCATTTCATCATCACTAGAGCTAGATGAGCTAGACATTTTGTTCTGGGAGACGATGGGTTGAGGTGAGAAGGCATCGAATTTTATAGGAATCAGTCGGTTGACGGTCAAAGTTTGTGATACCTCGAACTTCGTGCCCAACCTCGAAGACCGCGGGCTACCTCGAAGACCGTATCCAACGGTTAGAAATGAAATAAAAGAGGTTTAAATATAATTGAAAGTAATTGGTAAAAAAAATTAAAATAGAAGAGGAGTTTTTTTGATATTGTCGTAGCTCCTAACTATGAGCTTGTTGGAGCTCCATAAAATAAGGAGGGCCTCCCAAGACTTATTTTTTTTAAAAATTTTTTATTCTAAAATGCTTGAGCGCTCTTGAGAGCTTGCTGACTAGGACTCCCAACTGGGAGCTTGTTGGACTTGCTCTTATAAATGTGCTTATAATTTCTCCAAACCAGGGGACAAAAATGAAAAACACCCTTTCGATCGTTGCCTCAGAGTCAAGACCCGTAAGTCAATAGTTAATGGGGTTAATCATTGCAAAGAATATACAAGCTCATGATACGCACCAATCAATGTCACTTTCGCCAAAGTCTCAATTTCCCGAGGACTTCTCTACAAAAAAGGCCGCAGATCGCCCACCGATTTATTGGTCGCTTGCGTTCTCCCTTCCGAACTCTCAAGAGTTTAAAAAACAAGTGTTGGGTTTTATTTGGTCGTGTAAGTTTCTTCGCCCGAGTTGCTCTCCAATTTTGATGAATGTTTATTAAACTTGTGATTTTGTTCTCAATTTGGGTCATGGGCTAGAAAAGGAGCATGTTTATTATCAATTTTTTTTTTTTTTTTTTGCCTAAAGTTTTTGTTGCAGGTTGAGCTAGAGTAGGAATTTTTGTAGCTCAGGCTGGGTGTGTGTTTAGTGTTAATTTAGTGGGTCTAAATATGCAGCAAAATCCAACTGGGTTTGCATGTTAGGGTTTGAATTGAACACCAAAACCTATATCAAAATGTTGCAAAAATTGAGGGCATGTTGATTTTCCAATCTGATGTAATTTAGTGAAATTTGGGTCATGGGCTAGAAAAGGAGCATGTTTATTATCAATATTTTTTTTTTTTTTGCCTAAAGTTTTTGTTGCAGATTGAGCTAGAGTAGGAATTTTTGTAGCTCACGCTGGGTGTGTGTTTAGTGTTAATTTAGTGGGTGTAAATATGCAGCAAAATCAAACTGGGTTTGCCTGATGTAATTTAGTGAAATTTGGGTTTCATGCGTATGCGAAAACCCGAAAACCTTCGTTGAGATTTTGTTGAATTGGTTGCATATTTACCCTTCACTTTTATTTTTTTTTAGAGGGCAGACTATGGGTAACCTGTGTTGCTGCGTTCAAGTGGACCAGTCCACCGTGGCTATCAAGGAACAGTTTGGGAAATTCGACGAAGTTCTTGAGCCGGGGTGCCACTGCCTCCCTTGGTTCCTTGGCAAGAGGCTAGTTGGCCACCTCACCCTCCGTCTGCAGCAGCTAGACGTCCGTTGCGAGACGAAGACGAAGGTCAAAGCTTCATCCTTTGCTTGCTGTGGTTTTGCAGTTGTTGTGATTTAGCGAAGGAATAGCCCCGTACACTTCATTTCTATTTTCCTCAGGATAACAGAAATGAAGTGTACGGGACCAACAACTGCAAAAACGACCCTTTTCTGAAGAAAATGGTCGGTTTTGCTAATTTTTTCACCAAAGGGTCGTTTTTTGCTATTTAAATATTAAAAACGGGTGCTTTCAAAAATTTGTCATTTGTATTATCTGTGTGACTTGGTCATTTAATATGTTTAAAATGGGTGAATTGAATTGCTTGCATATATGAATTAAGTGATGAATTTCATCTTATCGATAAAATAAAATAAGAACCATTTGATGTGTGTGTAATGTTGGTGAATGAGTAGGTGTGTGTATAAATAAAATAAAATTTGTCCTTTATTTATAGTAATTTGCATTTTTTTACTAGTTCCCATCCTACTACAATTCTTGTACTTCATCCGAGCTATGTGTTCTTCAAATTGCTTGGTTCGTCGATAACTAGTTTTCTTCTGCGACTTGCGCGGTCTCGTTTGATCCAGGATAGCTTCTGAATTTGTATATCACATAGTATGTGCACATTTTATTTTGTAATTTAATTTGTCTGAATGGAGAATTTAAACAACTCATGTATTATTTTGTTCACGGTAAGGTAAGACATTTGCACTGATCACTGATCATGATTATTTTGTTGCATATTCTCTGTTCAGAGATGAAGCGAACTTAAAATTTTTGCTTATTGGATGTTTCCAGGACAATGTATTCGTCAATGTTGTCGCGTCAATCCAATACCGTGCTCTGGCTGATAAGGCAAGCGACGCGTTTTATAAGCTGAGCAATACACGATCTCAGATCCAGGCGTACGTCTTTGATGGTATAAACTCCATTCCCATTCCCATTCGTTGAGTTATTTCTTTAGCCGTTCGAAATTGAACAGGGGAATTGAGAATACTCGGTTTTATCTATGTTTGCAGTGATCAGAGCGAGCGTCCCGAAGCTCAACCTCGATGATGCCTTTGAGCAGAAGAATGATATAGCAAAGGCTGTTGAAGAGGAGCTTGAGAAAGCTATGTCTGCTTACGGATATGAAATTGTCCAGACCCTCATCACTGACATTGAGCCTGATGAGCATGTGAAGAGGGCGATGAACGAAATTAATGCAGGTGAGATGTTCACAACTTGGCATAATGTTGGGCTCGTAGTGCGAGGGGCCTCTCCGCAATTATCCCTGACTTCCGCTTATGTCTAAGGCAACTAACATGTCTATGTATTTCAATCCTCAGCTGCAAGGCTAAGGGTGGCCGCGAACGAGAAAGCAGAAGCCGAGAAAATCCTCCAGATAAAACGCGCAGAGGGAGAGGCCGAGTCGAAGTACCTCTCCGGTCTTGGGATTGCTCGCCAGCGCCAAGCAATAGTCGACGGATTGAGAGATAGCGTGCTGGGGTTCTCCGTCAATGTTCCAGGGACCACGGCGAAGGACGTCATGGACATGGTCCTGGTTACACAATACTTCGACACGATGAAGGAGATCGGCGCAGCGTCCAAGTCCTCTGCGGTGTTCATCCCTCACGGCCCCGGAGCGGTGAGAGATGTTGCTACCCAGATCAGGGATGGGCTGCTCCAGGCATCTACTGTTAATTAGTGATATCTCAGCAACAGTTTGAAGTTAGGAAACAGGTGTATATGTTGGTTTTATGGCAGAAGATTGTGTGGAACCTTTTTAAGCGTGTGAATGCAAGTAGTAACTCTGGGTGCCTCCTTGATTGATATCTAGTTTTAGTTCTTGCCTTTCAATGTCTTGATAGAAACAAAAGCATACGATGAGGTTGCTTCATATCAAGCCTTGTAGGGAACTGCGAGTATATGTTAAGTTTTATGTCAGAAGACTGAAACTATGCAAGTCCTACTTCTTGGTTTTTCCTCTATTGCTCTTCAGTTATAGTCACTGCATGCGTAGAGTATTGACTTACATACCAAAATTTATGTTGAAAGAGAATCAGCCTACAGTGCATTTGCTTCATACAGCAAATTTGTTAAAATCCTTAATTGTTCGATGGGAAGACTAGCATATGGTGTATCTTTTTCAAGGACAACAGAAGCATCTAACAATGAATGCACATGTAAAGATTGAAAAGAACAGAAATATGTGCGTACGCTTTTATCATAACATCATCACAGCAAGTGTACGCTTTTATCATAACATCATCACAGCAAGTGAACGAGGACTGATTTCAAAATCATGGTATAATAATTAGGTGATGAAAAGAATCAAACATGCATTTGACAAGAATACGAAGCTGCAAGCAATAAGCGCAAACATTTGTAGCATTACGCGTATCAAATCACAAACAAGAGGAAGGAACAACATGCTAAGCAAAAAACTGAAGCTGATTTAAAAAAGATATCACACATCAATATATGGAATCTCCCTTGGAGCCCATAAATAAGACTCATTCGGGAAAAAAAAAATTGGAATTGCCAAGAAACATCACAAAACTATAGACGAGTACAAAACTCAGAAAGTATTGTGCACAACAAACTAAATGCTGCAACAAGAAGACACCAGTTGAGCGCCTGCACCAGGCAGCAGAATACAATCTTACGCAACTGAACTTATCACTAAACATTCAAAAGCCCTCCAAATTAGAAAATTAAACAACATTGTAAGCTCCATAAGCAATTCATCCATTGAAAAGCAAAAAAAAAAATAGCCCAACAGCTTGATGGATCAACATTAAGGGAGGGAGAAAGAATTTTCCGAGGAGCAGATGTTCAAAACTCAGGTCCCGGAAACCTAAACTAAATTATTCTTACAGGCCCAGCATCAAAATAAGCAACAGCTAACAGAGCCATATGATAGACAGTGAATCCTCAAAAAGTTCTTAAAACTCAGAAAAAGAAAAAAAAACACCCCAACCGCAACAGCAACCACAGTAGTCTTTCCATTCCAACTTATTGCAACATCCTAGAGAAGACAACGGTTATCAAGGCTTGAGGACAAGGGACAAGCCGACCTTGGAGCTCTTCTCAATTGCCTTGGTGTCTACTTCTCCAGAGATGGTGACAAATGACTTAGGCCTCCACTGGTGCTGGAGGAGAGCGCTGGCCCTGCCATAGTTATCAAAGCGAGCCTTGACAGTAGTCAAGGGGTCAAGAGCGTGCTGGGTGCCGAAGGTGAGGGTGTTCTCGTTGCTCGAGAAGCTGTGGGTCATTTCTGCACCGACTGCAGTGCTGGTGAGGGGGCTCACCACATGATAGTAGGAAGCACTCAGACTATCTCCCTTGTTGTTCCTGCACAAAGAGTAGTTCATCAATGAGCAATAAAAAATAAGAAATCAAGGACAACAAAAGAAAGAAAAGAGTACCCATGCTAATTCTAAGTTGGAAGGACACTGGGCGAAAAAAGTGAATAGTTTTGCTAAAAGTTCCAAAACAAGGTTTATGCAGATGCATTAAACTATGTTCTCAATGCATGGTCTCATTATGTGGATGAGCTTCATAATCACTTCTACACACTAGTAAAAAGTTTAAGCATTTGCATACCAATTAATTCCATGAATAGTTACTTACGCAAATCATTACACTTTTTTCATTCTTCTAAATCCAACCTATTAATCACTTTAACCTAATGGAACTGTTAAACAAATTACAAAAAGTTCTGAAACAGTAGACAGCTCTCTTTCTCTGAGACCAAAAAGGCGAGCCTTTTCCTCGTATCTTTTCTATAAAACAAGGGTCTATGTCTAAATATTTGTCGTGTATGTTATTTGCTCTTTCATGTATGCGTGCAGGTGTGTATCACTTTTTTTTACACAATTTGATTATGCATTATATAATCTGATTTTTGTACTATGCATTGTCCAAGTGTAAGAATAATGAATCAATTTTTTTAGAACACTGAAATTAAGCATTAGCTACTATCCTGGCGGTGAATGGCTATTAGATAGTCTCGCAACATAAATGCCCAACCTAGATAAAGGATATGAAGTTACATGTCCAGCTCCTATAAGAACCAGCAAAAAGATCGGTAATTCATCCTAACACTTAAAATAAATTTCATTGATCTAGGAATTTATTATAGAAGCCAAACAGCAGAAGGATCTAGTTTGGTAAAGGCAACTAGATCCTTGCACATTATGGGAATATCAAGATCAGAAAACAAAATACATTTATGCAGAAGTCGCTTACAGGTTCAGTGCAGCAACAAGGTCAGAGTTGATAAGACTCAACCCAGCATTGTACTTAGTAAAGTTCCCAGTGGCAGTATCAAAAGAAACATCAGCACCAACAGCTAGTGCACCACTTCCGAAAACACCAGCGAGGTTCACAACAGGGTTAGCAGTTAGACCAATGCTTGCATTAACCCCAGCATACTCATGAAAGTACTGAAGCTCAACCTGGACACAACCATAATATAAGAATAAAATTGGCATATCCAATTCAATAAACAAAGAAAGAGCATGCAAAATGCATTTTTTTGGTGGGTTTTTCTTTTTTTTTTTTTTTTTT